GTGGGTGGGGAACGTTACCCTAAATTTTCAGCTTCCTAGCTTTTGTGGTTCCCAAGTTGAAAGTTGTGATCAAGTTACTGCAGACACACACACACACACGCACACACACACAGACACACACACACAGACAACTCCGTGACAATATCCGTTTTGCTCTGCTGTTACACAGCACAAGACGCATAAAAAGAGTAAAATGGAAAAAGCTAAGAAATGAACCGGCGACGACAAGAAACGAAACGAAACAACAGTAGATATAGTAAAAATGAATTAAAAATCAGGCTCGCTAGCGAAAACATACTTTTTCAAACGCAATTTCCTTGTCCAAATTCAAAGTCGTCGGTAATGAGGCCGTAGCAATCCTTTCGAAATCCATCTAGAGGTCCTGGAAAAAAAATCCAAGAGTCTCAAACAAAACCGAAAAAGGCTCATTGAATCTAATGGCACAATATACGAAAGTTTATATTAAAAAAGTAGCAAAATAGGCCAACCTTTTGAGGTGGCACAGCTTTAAAACTGCAAACGTTTTCAATTATTAAATCAGTTCTTGAAAAATTACCTTTCCTGCAAAACTTAACCAAAGATTTTATACAAGCATCGCTAACTTAGCAAGAATAATCATCCAGAAAACTTGCGTAAAATCAGCAAAAAACGAAACTTTCACTTACATACAATGAAACAACTGTACAATTCACTTTTGGTCGGCAAGCGCTAAATACATAAGTAATTGGAACAAGGTGCAACAGAAAGCAAAACCCGCTAAATCGATTACTCCGTCCTCCTGCTCTCCCAGCTTGCTTTGGAAAAAGCAGTCATGCGATGCAAAAAACAATCAAAGAAAGTTGCAGCGCAGAATTTAGCTTAGAAGAACGAAAGACTTGAAGGAATGCAATAACTGCAGGCGGGCAATGACGGGAGAAAAAAAACTGGAAATCCAAATAGAAGACGCAGGATTCAGTACAAAGAAATGCTAAAAAAACTCCTGAAACGCTGGATTTGTCGCTAAGAGGGCTGAAAGAACAGGAAAAAAACAAGTATGATGCAAAACGAACGAGCCTGAGCAGTCCCTAAATCCTAAATTCACCACCGTCACACCATCATTATCATCATCATCGATACCCTATGAATATGGTCAACAACGCACGTATTCAGAGACAGGAACAGGGCGCAAATTCAGCATATCAAAAATCAGGTGCAATCGCAAAATTATCACTGTAAAGGAGCCACTTCACCGAAGTAACAACCGGCGCAACAAACAGAATACATTCTGAACAATTTCGGATAATGACGAAGCATAGAGCAAGCGGAAAAGCAATCGTAATCAGTGCCTCCGATAACGATGATATATTCAAAACACAATTTTCTACGAGCTGCATCACCTTACCGGCTAACAACATAAGATGGATCACACAAAAGATTCAAAATGCAGATAACGTGTGCTCGGATGTTCATGGTGCCGAGTCGTACAGAATGTCTGCTGTGAAAGGC